CTGATCGTGCTGGTGGTTGGGTCCTGAGATTATGCATTGGCTCAGCATGTTTGGCCCTTCATGGTGCAGGCCTCTCCATTTTGGTGGCCAGGTCCTGAGATCCGTCATTCCCCAGTGGCTAAGCATGCTTAGCCTTTCACAGGTCAAGACGAGCATCCTGGCAGCCGAAGGCTTGGTGCGACTTTCTGAGTGTATGGCGTGTCTTATTTCAGGAGGTTTGGGTTTTTTCTGAGCGACCGTTAGGTCGCACCCTCGTCCGCTATAGGACGAGACGAGTCCGCTAGGACTCGTGGCGAGTCCGCTAGGACTCGAGGCGTCTGTTAGGACGCAGACGGTCGCCCGGTAGGGCGATCGTCCCTCAACGGGCCTCCGTCCGCTAGGATGTGGGGCCTGCATCCATTTAAGCCTTTGATGCTGAGGCCTTCTAGAGGATCCAAATTGCCGGAGGCTGAGAGAGAAATAATCCAGTCCTGCCAAGTGCTCAATCAGAGGTCGCCCAAGAGTCCTTTTCGAGCTGCCCGGTACATTTGCTTGGCTTCCTTCGCCTGACCCTTAGTCACTTTCTCCGAAGCCACTGTGAGTGTTTGTCCGATGCCACATGTTGAGCAAAAACCACTGGCTGCTGCTTCCATACTGGTTCAAGAAGGCCTCTCTGGTGACGTCCGGTTTTAGGCCTCTCCTTTGCGACCATGGGTCGCTCCAATGCCTCCACCCTGGCCGTTCCGGACCTAGGCCGGAACCATTCAGAATTACAGTATTACTGAATGAATTCTGAGCCCTGTTGCCTTTGCCCTGTCAGACCCTCGTGTGCTGCATGGGAAGCACTTGCAGTGGCTGATGTTCAAGCTGAAGGGCGAGGTCCTCAAGCATAGGCCGCACGCGTACGCGATGTTGGTCCATCTCCCCGATGAGTGTATGCTGGTCTCTCATCTGAATTCGTGCTTTCTTGCGAACCTTTGTCTTGGTATTCCTCGCTGAGTTAAGTAGTAACTTTCTTGCCAAGGCCTATCTCATCCTGTCCAAGCACTCTCCTGGTGGTGCGGCCAGCGCCGAGTCGCTCATTCAGCGGATGGTCCGAGTCATGGCTGCATTGGCTGGGACATTTATATTTCCCTTATTGGGCTTAAGAGGATCTTATTTCCTAATATTTTTAATAATGCCGCTCGAGGTCAGCGCATTGCGGCCAACGCGGCCGATCGAATGACCAAGGCAACGGTTTGGACACACCCAGAAGGTGTCGTCATCAACCATTGCCTCAAGGAGGTCAAACGCATGCGTGGCTCGTTGGCACATCGTATGGGTACTAAGGAATTAAAATTTAATCGTTAATCCTTTCCCAACAATGCGGAACCCAGGAGAGGCGAGGGAGTCCTTCAAAGCGTGACCTCCTGGTGTCTCCGTCTTCATCGGCCTCTCCTTTTGGTGATGGGCCGCTCTTGGAATCGTGCTCGGTCTGGTGGCTTTGTGCAGCTCCTGCCTTCGATGGTGGCCGGCTGAAGTCTGGTCGATGAAAACGGCCACAGGAGAAAAAAGAGTGTGCTGAATTTAAGCTGCCGACTCCTGCTGCCAGTGGCTGTTGTCATGATTGCTCAGGTCCCACATCGTTATGCTCCGGATCAGCATGTTCGAGGTGGGGTCAGGCACACTTCCCAGAGCAAGCTGAAGTTGCAGCTCAGTCTTCTTCCCAGGTCCTCAATGAAGCGATCCTGGCCTCTCCCTTCGAGGCCAAAAAGGACGGATTCGTTCCGTTCTCTGGAGAAATGTTTTGATAGACAGGACGTACAAGCTGTGGTCTTCTCGTGCTCCTGCTGCAGCCTCTGGCTGGAGGCAAGCCCGCTTCCCCGCTTCGCTTGGAGTGTTTGTGCATGCTCATTTTGTTGGACTTTGAGCCACTCGGTCATTGCACTTGCTCGCAAGGCATTCCCTGTCAAGCTGGCTGACTGAATTGCAGTCATGTCAGCAGGTAGACCATTAAAAGCTATAGAGGACGAGCCCGGGGGGTCCCCGTCCGCGGATCCAATGGCAGCCGGGTCCTCCTCCACGGCCTCTGAGGCAGCAGGGTCCTCCTCCAGGGGCGTTCAGACGGACCCTCCGAACTTCTTCCTCACCGACGCTGAGAAGGAGGGGATCACGGTCGACGCCATGTTTGAGGCACCTTGGTCTTGAATCTGAGCTGCCATCTGATCATGTCTGCTTTTCATATTAACTAAGGCTCGCGATCGCTTGGAAAGCTGCGCGATCGAAGCCTCCTACATCCTCTCTGCTCTTGGGGCCGATCCTGAGGCTTATGTGGGCATGTTGTCGCTCCTTTCGACACCTGCGGGGCAGACCCAGGGGATGGAACTGCTGATGGAGGAGTTGCTGCCCCAGGTCCTCCTGAACAGCCCCCACCATGAGGTTCGCAAGGCCGCTCAGAAGATCCCAGGCATCTTCCAGCATCCTCACCCGGAGAACCTCATCACCAAAGGGTGCCGCCGCATGGTGGACGACATCTGTGGCTCGCCTCACAATCCGCCTTTCATCGTGAACTTGTTTCTTCGTGTCTGAAGCTCAGGCAAGGACTTCGAGAAGAAGTCCAGCAATGTCAAGGTCCAGGACGATGCGAGCGGGTCCTCCGAGGAGGACGAGGAAGAGGATGATGAGGAGGAGGACGACCAGATCCTTCACTGAATTGTCGGGTGATGTGCGAAGTTGCTTTACTCCATCGCCTTTTTGGCTGGGCATCAACTGAGGTGGTGGTGGGGCCACTCCGATGACAACTGGTGGCAGTCCTGGAACGACTGGCAGCAGCACGACGACCAGTCCCAATGGTGCCTGGGCTGCTTTGAATTCTGCTTACCTTTGAGTTGACTTGAGTAACACAAGGAATTGGAAGTCTGCCAGCCAGCAACAGGGGTGGTGCCTCGGCTGGGCTGTGAGTTTACATTCAATTACGGCCCGGGCCTCTGAAGATTGTGATTTTATCGGTCCAAGGAGCCACAACAAATGCCACACCCAATGGTGCCTCGGCTGTGAGTTTTTGGTTGGCTTCTCAGGTGGTTTCTTTCCTTGTCGGCGAAATGCACTTCTTTCGCAAAATAAGGCATCAGTACCACGGCGACGATGACAACGATGTCACTGGTGGCAGCTCTGGCTCGCAGGAGCAAGGCCGCTCCAACTCCCAAGGGTAACTCGGCTGCGACTTGCTGTCCCTCGAACTAATGTTGCTTTATTGAAGCTCGGTTCACGAAATAAGGAATAATCCTGGCAGCTCTTCGGGACCCTGATGCCCGCTCGATCATTACAAGTACAGAATTCCTGGCGGCAGCTCTTAAGTCTTGGCCGCCGGCCTGTGTACAGTAAGATCGCGACTCTCACAGAAAAAACTACCTGCTCAGAGTCTCAATTCAGTGACCAGAGATTGCATGCCCTCGTGGCGCAGGTGGCATCCCATCTGTTTTCGTCAAGCAAGTGCCACCCTTGGCTTTTGCAAGGGCAGACAGCTGCTCTTCCTGTTTCTGAGTGTTTGTGTGTGTGTGCCCATTGCAATGTTCCAGGCCTGAGCGGAGCGCAGCACCCACCCTCTCGTGTGGAACATCGATACAGGTGTTGGGCACTCAGCTCAGAAAGCATTGCCTGGGCATCCTGGGAAAACTTAAACTGCCTCTCGTGGTGTGCTGCTGCCAGGTGTCTATGAGTGCCTTTTGGTCCTGGCTGGGCAATTCGCCTGGCCCTGAACTTCGGACACACAGAGTGATGCCCGCAGCTTGCATGTGCAACCTTTGCTGCCTGTTGCGAAAGCCCTGGTTCAAAAGAGAGGGCGATTCCTTTTCGAATCTGTTTAAGACGACTGATGTGTCAACATGTACACAGCTACGAAGCTGCAAGGCTTGCCCAAGCTAGGCCATTAAAGACTTAAATGCAAGGCTCGATGGACCATCATAGCCAGCTCGTTCAGCATCCCACGATGGTAAAAGTCTCCAAGGCCACTCAGTGCTATCCTCCGGTCGATCCCCGGAACGCCCGTGCGGAGAGGCTCGACTGGCTTTGCGCCCGCCTTAAGGCAGAGGTCCTCCGGCGCAGTCCTCACGCAGCGGCCGCTCTTTACGACATGCCGACGGAAGTCTGGGTAGTGACTCGCCTGCGTGTGAAAGGGTCAGGGGCCACACAGTTGGATTGAAGTATGTAAGCAGACTCAGTCAGGCCTGGCTTTGCCTGCATCGCCACTCCACGTCGGGATCGTTTTCGGCCAGCTCCCTCATCCACAGGCTGATCCGAAGCATGGCAGCAATCTGGTCTTTGTCGGCTCTTTCTCAGCACTTCCCACTACACTCAGGAAACAATATCCTCGTGACCCAGGGTGAGGGCAGAGAGAGGATGACCCAAGCCGCTATCTGGACTTATCCCGAAGCGGTCATTATTCGGCACGTCTTCAGGGAAATCAGAGTCATTCGTGACTCGGAGGGATTTCGGAGGTTAACGGATTTACTTCTTTGGTGATACGGTTTTGTGACAGGATTCAGTGTGTCCGCAGCCTCCCTGAACACTGAGGTGAGCAGCGTCGGAAAGCCATCCTCAAAATGACTCTGACAGGCTGACGGCCGATCAAAGTGACTGATGGCCTCTCTAGCCACTGGGATTTTTGAAAGGAGAGCCACGGCATCAGGAAGAACTGAATGACGGACGGCCTCTCTAGCTGTTTTTGAAAGGAGAGCCACGGCATCAGGACAAAATAGTCGTTGCATTCAGCCTTGGGCACAGAGCATTTATCTCCTTTTGGAAGCTGCCTGTTAAGTGTGTTTGTCGTCGGCCTTGCCTGGTGTCACTTGCCAAGGTCCGTGGTGATTCCCTGTCGTGATGTGGGTGGACACAGGCCAGCGCTCTTTGTCTGTAGTCTAGTTTGTCGCAGCTGTGGGTGCCTGCCAATTCTGTGACAGTGCAACTTGGAATTGGTGGAGGTCTTTCCTCTCAAGCCACAGCCTTGGGCCTTCCTTTAAGGCCCCTTTTTTCGGGCTTTGTGCATGGAGCCTTTCTCGGAAGCCGATGCAGCTGCAGTTGTGGAAGAAACCTCCGACGTGAGCTTGGAGGAGGATGAATTTCACGAAGAAGACCCAGCTGATTTCGACGAGGCCACGCCTCCCGAAGCTGCTCCTTCCACTCCGTTAAGGGCGGCTCCTTCCACTCCGTTAAGGGCGGCTCCTTCCACTCCGTTAAGGGCGGCTCCTTCCACTGCGTTAAGGGCCGTGCCTTCTGGATCCACCTCTAGTCAGCCCCGATCCACCTCCATCGATGACGGTGACGGTGGCCGCTCCACTCAGACTTGTCACCAAGACATCCGCATGTTCGCCACCGTGGAAGACCGTCGTGATGTGAAGAGGCGGGCCTTCCAGGAAGTGGCTTGGCTCAAGGTGTTCCATGCCTGCATTCTGACCTGCATTGTGTGGCTTTCTCTGCAAAGGTTCGCCGTCAACTCGTCGAGGACCACATCGAGGCCGCTCTGCTTCTCGAGTCGGTCGACACCGACGACTACGGGCACCTAGGCCGAAGGACAGCATTGAAGTTAGGGAAACATTGAATTGTCATGTACACTGAGGATGGCAACCTTCGCGAACCTGGCGGAGGTCTCGGAGGCGGCCGCTCAAGAAGTTTTGGTCAACTCCGTGTTGCCGCAGCTGTTGCTCGACAACCCTTTGTTGAGCATCAGGGACAGCGTGCCAGAGGAGTATGAGCCTTGGTGTTCTTTTGGTTGGCTCTTTAGACTTTAACTTTTTGGGTTTCTACATTTATAATAAGAAGGCTAAGATCACTTTTGGGAGGGGTTCAGAAGTCAGCTAAGGAGCGTCACCCTTTCCCGCAGAACCTGGTCGTTCAAGCCTGCCGCTTCGCCATCGAAGAGCTCAATGGTGGCCTGTCTTAACTTAAACACAACTTGCTGCACTGAATATTTCCACAGCCAAGCCAGTCGAGTGATCAGAATCAGGTCCCTCCTTTGCTGCTGTGAACGAAGAGGCCGCCAATCCCCGTCAAGTGGACATTCGTTACCATGGGCTACTTCGCAAGATTATTACCCATGTGTCCATTAGTCTCATCATGCTTGCCTTGGACTGTCAAGACTGACAGCTGCATATCGAGGCGCACCAACTGGCGGCAAAACCTCCTGGACAGCCTCCACTATGCACAGCGGCACTCTAGTGCCCGAGACCACCCTGCAGAGCGGCACTCTAGTGCCCGAGATCGCCATGCACAGGGCCACTCTAGTGCCCGAGACCGCCCTGCACAGGGCCGCTCTAGTGGCCGAGACCGCCGGTCTAGTGCCCGAGACCGCCCTGCACAGGGCCGCTCTAGTGCCCGAGACCGCCATGCACAGGGCCGCTCTAGTGCCCGAGACCGCCCTGCACAGCGCCGCTCTAGTGGCCGAGACCGCCGGTCTAGTGCCCGAGACCGCCCTGCACAGGGC